ACCGGCAATATAGCCACTGACTGGTTCTTAATGGTCTGGTGTCTGTATGACGGTACGCTCACAATAAGTCGTAACGCGAGAGGAAATGCGTGAAGTGCGAGAGATAAAAAAAATATTTTTTGACCCAGATTACAAAAGTCTGTCCCAAATATGTGTTACGACTGAGGTAGTTAAATGTGTAAATTTGAGTGTGCAGGTGCCCTTTGCTGATTGGACCATGAAGACTGGAGGACAACTGATTGGAGGCCTGCAGAAGGTGGCAGTGATAAAAGGAACTGACGTGGACTTCCCAGCYGTTCATCCTCAGCATATCTCAACTGGCCTCACAATTTGTCTTTGTAAATAACATTAAGAAAGCACTTGAGTTTGTAGGAGTGAGCTGCCATTTATTTTTGATACCATTTTTCTCCTGTTTATCTTATTGTAGGGAGGTAAGTTTTTGTCTTTTATTTATTTTATTTTAACTTTAGGTAAGTTTGGATACATAAGACAGTTCCCTTTTGTTTGTTATTTTCGGCACATAGCTCACTCTGAAGCCCAAATACTCCTGTGTTAACACCTTTTTGAAAACACACTTTTAAAAATAAAAACAATTTTTGTTTGTTAAAACTGTGTGTTGCCTGCTTGAGGTCTGATGAGGATGGATCTTTCATGCTGTGACCTGGCCCCTCCTAGACAGGTTGTAACATGAATTGGGGGCTCGTCCGGGATTGCAGCCATTTGCAACACACATTTCTCCACCTGTTTCTCGCACAGCGTTTCCTTTAATTCTGCTTTGCGAACACTGTAAGACACTTCAACACTGTATTTATTAGTCACAATGAGTAGGTCCGTCTTTYTGCATTTTTCTAATTTTTCCCAAGAAGGTGAACTTACAAAATCTTCAAGAGAAAACCCCTTCTCCATAAYTTCCCCGGTRCACAAAATAAAACTGCCAACCAGAAGAACAAACACTTACCAAATCGAGCGAGAGAAGAAACGGGACGAGCCCCCAATTCATGTTACGACCTGTCTAGGAGGGGCCAGGTCACAGCATGAAAGATCCATCCTCATCAGACAAAAATTGTTTTTATTTTTAAAACTGTGTGTTGCCTGCTTGAGGTCTGATGAGGATGGATCTTTCATGCTGTGACCTGGCCCCTCCTAGACAGGTCGTAACATATGTAAAATCAGTTGGATCTGAGTATATTTCCAGCAGGTAAAATATGTATTGAACACGTCACCATTTTTCTCAGTAAATATATTACTAGAGGCGCTAATG